ACCAAATTCATCCATCAACATAGAGATGCTTCTGGAATTTAATTGATCATTGATAGATTATTACTTTTATTTAGATAACATCCATTTATGATTGAGAATACCTTAAATAGAAGGTCTATTAAATGGATTTGGTTGTAGAATCATGGCAATCAATGATTTACAATCCTCACTTACAAATTCCTCATATTTTAACTATTATCCAGATAGAATTGCAACACACTTTTCTTAATCATTTTTCCCTGTAAATGGAGGCTTACCTTATACCATCTCATAAAGTAAAACACCTAAACACCAGATATCTAATTTATAATTTGTGCTTTGAGATTTAATCATTTCTGGTGCCATATATTCTATTGTCCCACAAAAAGCTTTTTTCAGATTATCCATTTCAGTGGACCATCCAAAATCACATATCTTTATATTCCCCTTTGTATCCAACAAAAGGTTCTCTGGCTATATATAGAAACATAATGCAAACCTTTATATCCCTATGGATTATCTTCATCTTATGTAAGTATTCAATTCCTAAACAAGTCTAATAAAGATAATGAAATGCTTCATCCTCAGAAAGTCGACGTTATTTTTTAATCTTTTTAAATAAAGAACCTTCTTCTGCATACTCCAGAATTAGATAGACATTAGTCTTTTATATAAATGATAATCATACCTTGTCTTCGAAATAACTATCCAATTTAATAATATTAGGATGATGCAATTTACGTTAAATTTTTATCTCTCTCTTCAAATTATCGACTGTACAATATTTAAATAGTTCTTCCTTCTTCATCTATTACATTCAACATTAAATAATACTGCTTTCATTGCAAATAGTTTTCCAGTCTTAATCTCCTTAACTAAAGTCACCCAACCAAAAGAGCCTTATCCTAAAGTTTGTTGCATAGGTTAAAAGTCACTACTATAAAAATGTTCAAATACCTATGACTTTTCTTTTGTATTTTACTTGAAGATGCTTTACTACTTGATCGAGGCATATTAGTACTAACCTTATTTAAAAAACATACCAATTGGAGTCATGTTTTGAAATTGAAGTGTTCAATTTTAGACTCCGGCTATCACAATGTGTCTCTGTAAAAGCTTTTTTAGAGTTCATTTAATATATAAAATATAATTTCAAAACTCAAACAACATCTAAAACATCCACTTATTCAATAGATTAAACATTGTATAATCAGTTTTTATGATTAACTCTAAGACTTAACACATTTCTCTTATCAACTATTTTACTTTTATATCTCGCTCTTAACGTTTTTTATAAATCTTCTCTCACTAATTGTAATTCTTATCTGAGTTCATCACATCTTATTAAAGTATAATAAATCCCCTTAATATAGAATGATCAATCTAAATGTATGATAAATTAGAACTTATTATGATTTTAATGATGAATTCATATTCCTTTATATGTCATATATGTTTAATTCATCATTAATCTTGTCTAAATGAAGTTTATTTTCTCTTTGATATATTTTATAATAAATGTATTTCATTAATAGAAATATGCAATCAAACAACATTAATCAATTCAATTTTACTGGTTTTGATAAAATACTTAATTTAATTGTTCAAAGTAAATAGTATCTCTTAAATTATTAATTTTACTTGCATCTAAACTATTTTGGAGTATTAATAGCAAAACTTATTTTGATTATTTTAATTTATGTAGTAATAATAAAAAATATTATTACTTATGTTATGTTTAAGAATAGTCAATATTAGATATTATTTGTTTAATAAAATATGAGTATTGATGTTTAAATTAATGTCAGCTTATTTTAAGTAAGAAATTAGATTCCTAAAGATCATATTATTAATGATGAAAAATTAATTTTGGATTGTTTAATTTTAGTTGTTATGCTTAAAAATATATTATTAAATTAATAAATATTCAGTCATTTGATTTCGAGATAATAAATAATTATTATATTTAAATATAGCAAAATTATCAAATTATTTAATTATTGTCAGATTTTGATGAAAATAATCGACTAATTATCTTAGTTTATGGAGTTCTTTACAGAAAATTCTTTGGTTTCTATGAACCTCCAGTTGATTAAAATGCAAATTATTATTTAGTACTTGCTTAAGGTGATTATATTTATGGTAATTGATTAAATTAATCTGGCTTATCCATATTGATTATTTTATATGTTTATTTCATTTGATTTTGAGATTCTAGTGAGTCTCTTAAATGTTCTTATGCAGTTCTAGATTTTCTTGCAACATCATCATTTGGTAGATTGAAACTAATAAATTCATTGACAGGAGTGATAGTCTATTTCGAGGAATTTGTTCTTAGAGCTGTTTCTTATTGTGATTATTATCCAATTGAACCATATCCAATTAATTAATTGTTATAAATTTTCTTTGTTTAATTTATTTTAGGTAAAAATGCAGTTGAATTAGATTTTTACATTTATTCACTATTATATTGAGATTGTCTACTATCTAATAATGATTTTTGATAAGATGGATATTCAGGTTAAATGAAATCTTCAGTTTATTTGGTAGGTATGTGTTTTCGAACAGGTTATAAATCAGCCATACTAATATTGAATTCATTATCTGAAATTTTGAGAGGCTAACCAAATTTGATATTTGAATTTCTTTGGAAGCCAGGTGCAACAGAATTATTCTGAAGTATATTAATTTATTCATTGTTTGTTTTAGGTTAAGGTGGTGAGAATGGTTTAACTGAAGGAACTTTAATTAATTTAGGAGGTGAGCTTATTAGAGATAATTTCATACCCAAATTTATGCATGACAGGAGTGATATGATTATTTTATACAAACTATTTAGTAGATTTAGCTAGAGTGACTTTTTTCAATGTTTGAGATGGTCTCTTTTCAACATTTATTTAAGGTTATATATTCTTTTTACCATCTGAACTAAGCTTGAATGCTTATTCTTTTGGTGATTTGAAGGGCACTCTTTATATTTGTTTTTATTAAAATTTAATGGATTATCCTAATGAGTTTAATTATGGATTAAAAAATTAAGCTGTTTACTTCATCTCTTATTATAATCGACTATCATCAAAAGAAGCTTAATCTTGGTGATTTATCATTTGTTTTAAATAATTATTTTATTTATTTTATCAATAACAATTATTCATATAAGTCCTAATAAGATATATTAGATTTTTATATTAATATGTTTCCATCTCTATACAGAATGTAATTATTAACAATAATAATTAATAATAATCCAAAATTTAATGATAAAATTTAAAGAATATTCAAAAGAGAAGTATAAATGTATTGAATCAAATAATTTAATTTATATCATTCATGATTAGTCACAATCAAAGAAATTGTTGTTCCTTCTTTAAAATCATCAGGTAATTCAACTACATAATATGATTTACTTATAGCTTTTAAAGTGCACCCAGAACATTTTCTATTAATTAAAATATGAATTACGTAAAGTGATAATGAACCTCATCAAAATAAAATTCTCTCGATAAAAAGACTTCTGTTTATTTTCCATTACATTTATCACTAGCTCTCCAATCCAATTATAAGAAATAAGAATCATCATCTACTCTATTGAAATTGGAACTGCTTGGTACACCACATATCTTAGTTACATAAGGTCTACTAAGAGTCTTGACTTTATTAGTGTATAATTATCCAAATTCATCATAAAAAGATTCTATTTATCCAGGATGTGCTTGAGTTGTGACATCAGCATAATACTTAAATTCCCAATAAGCCCATGATGTAAATCTTGATTCCATTAAATCTAATAAGTAATTAAGTTCTTTATTTCCCTCTGGAGTATCAAGAATAGCTCCAAATTCAGTCATGAATTTACCAACTCCTAAATTCTTAGCAACACCTTCTTTGGTTGCAAAAAAGAATGAATCCATATAATTACATACTTATTCATTCTTTGGTATACTATAATCATCAACATTAAAACAATATATATGATAACTATAAACTTCTCTATCTCTATATTCTTCACCTCCTGGAGTATCTTTAAATCCAGCACCTATAAGATCAGTTGTTCCAGGTTCAAAGAAAATGATTTTCTCATTATCATACTTTCTAATTTATTAATGCACTTTTCTATAGAGTGGTAACAAATTATGATTATTACCATAATTAGGAAATAGAAATTCTCTAATACTATGATAAATTGATCCTTGAATTGGTTCATTAATAATTTCATATCCAATAACATTCTTATGATCTTTAAAATAATTAGCAACAACACCCCAATATTCAGCAAATGCATCAGCAATTCCTTCTTTATTATCAAAAAGATTTTAGAATGTTTTAGAAGCTTCTGCTGTCATATAATAAAGTACAAACTTTTTCTTTAAACAATCCTCAATTAGAGGAACTCCTTCATCATCAGTATGAATTTTAGAGAATATATAAGGATATGGGAATCTAAATTCCTTTTATTTAGTTCTAGCAATTGTCCAATCAGGAAATCCATTTCCACAAAAGAATCTATTCAATACATCTTAATGTGAATCTAATAATACTGTAACTCCTTTAGCCTCACATTTTTTTACTATTTTGTCTATCTCTTCTAAATAAGTGTAATTGTATTATCCTCTAACTGGTTCAACTCCTTCCCATGCAACATGTAATCTTATAAATGATAATCCCCAAGAGACTAAATTATCTAAATCAAAATCAGATAATGAATCATTGGAGTCAAATCCTTCTGATACTGGTGGATAATATGGTGGCAGTTTGTATACAACATTTACACTATATATGATTATAAGGTTTACCCATGAAATACTCGTCTTAAACCATCTGAATCTACTATGAATTAATCATTTCTATTCACCTTAAATGATGATGCTACAAAAACGAGATAGAAAAATAATATGCAATATTTCATTAATTTTATTTAATTAAAGAAGTATTTATTATATCATATTTCTTTTTATTTAAATAAAATGCCTTTAAATAGGTTGAGACAAAATAATCAAATTTATTTAATATATTTTCTATAATCATGATAAAAATTACTCAAGTACTTAACTCTACATTAAAAGCATATGCATCAATTCAAATTAATTTTTTTATCCATTTAACAATTCATATACTTTGCTTTATTTCATATTTTATTGATATCCACTTTTGGATGATACAGTTCTGTTTACCATCAAATTAGATAATTAACTCTATTATAGATATTCTTGGCCAGAATCATACATGATATTATCTGAATAACTAGATATAGCATTTAGCTTAGCATTCAAAGTATTTTAAGAAACAAACAACTCCTTCTATAATTCTAACATCTCCTTACCTAAGTCTTCCTGTGAAATATTAACTATTCTTTCAACTATATTTTTGTATTATTTCCCAAAAAATATTGTATCCCCTACTAATTATGTCTATAAAGAGTAATATTAATTAATACTATTATTGATGATTTTTCATTTAATTCAATTTTCAATTATTTTATCTCATTATCTTTGGTTTATTAAAGTTGATTACATTATTATTAATAATATGTGTAGGTTTCATTTTAATATTTATCAAATTGAGTCTTAATTTAATCATGAGCAGTCTAGATAATATAAATATTTATAAATTACTTTATATTTTTCAAGATTTTATTTGAGTTTGCTGTTTTCTAATTCAAAATCATGATATAGATTAAAATATTGTTCTTTTTCTTCCAAATAAAGTTGGTTACTTGATTTTAAAAGTTCATTTGATCTTTTTAATTGTTCTATCTATAAAATATAAATAATTTAATAATATACTTCATCAATTTTGGATTTTAATTAAGATTTGATGGATTCATTTTAAGCATTTAAATCTGTGATTGAAATAATTTATTTTTTATTATTATTTTATAATTTCAAAATTTATTCATTTAATGATGTAATAAGTTTAGATTTCTATTCTAATTCATCAATTTAATATTTAATAATCTTTTATGATCCATTATTTAATTAAGGATTACTTTTAAATTGATTATTACTTAGATTAATTTCAGTAGATAATTTATTTTAATGTATTGATGTATTATTATTTTTATCTAAATTGCAACTATTAAATCTATGATGAAGAGATGATTTATTTATAGTTTTTAAAGAACTATTATAATTTTATTAAGGTTTAAATGAATTTTATATTTTAGTTAATTGATTATTAAGGTTATCGATTTAAGTACTAATATGCTATTTAGATTTTATTTCTTCTATGATTTCATACACAATAGTTACTATATCCTTAACCATATTTTGAAATTGCTAAGTCTAATCTTATACTTATTCTTTTTTATTATTATTAGATTATTGGTTTAATTCTAAGATTAAAAGATAAATCATGAATTTGAGTAGAATAAGATCTGTACATCTATAAAAATCAAAGCAAATTGTAGAATTATCAAGACAAAAGAGTTTCATTTTTGTTATAATGGTTGTAAAGGTATGTTAATCATGATCTTTAGAATATCTAAGTTATTTAAGCTATTTTTCAATATGTGCCAGTGATTTAATCAAGGATTGTTCAATAGGTGTATTGATATTAGAGTATTTTTAAGGTTGTATATCAAGTGGAATTTCATTTTAAGTAAATGAATTATGCTTATCTATTTATCTAACAATACGATCAGTCCATTATTCTACATCATATTGTTTGACTTAAAGGTAAGGGACTGGTGATGACTTTTACAGCAATTAGTTGATTTCTTTAGTGGCAATTGGCTTAATTGGTGAATGTGAGTGTTGGCTAGCTTTCTTTTATGTAGAATACAAATTTTGAAGTTTTTGAAGCAACTAATTGCTAGAAGCTGAGTTCATTATAATTAACAGATATTTATACTTGGCTGAATGTAAAAATCTTAAATTATTAATAAATTAAAATGAGAGTTCTCTTCTGTATTGCATTGGTTTTAGTTGTAAAAGGGGCAATAACAGTCACATGCCCAAAAAATGGACTTGGTTGTGTTACATATGGAGCCAATATAGTTATTTAAACAACCAGAACAAATTCATTGTGCAGAAATGGTATTCTATATTATCATCAATAAAGGTTATTATTGGAACAATCAAGCATGTATGCCATGCAAAAATGCTGACATAGTCGTAGGTGGTTATTACACTTGTAGTGCCTATTATGAAGGAACTTCATTGACATGTAATTCAGGTTATACATTGATAAATGGGTAATATAAAAAATGTATATTTTAAGTGTATGTGTTCAAATACCTCTTGGTTGTACAGCTTATGGTTTAAATCAGAATTCAGATGCTTATGTTTGTACAGCATGCTTATCTGATTATACACTTAAAGCAGGTGTATGTATCAATAATAGATATTGTTCATCATGGGATGATAATGCAGTTTGTACTTCCTGTTAGACTGGATACTTTTTAAATTGGGATTTGAAATTTGCATCAACAAGTGCTAATTCAAACAATCAAACTGATTGGATTAATACTTATTAAACATATTATAAATTCCCTGGAGAATCATTTTGTAGTGTATGTTCATAAACAATGGCTAATTGTAAATCTTGTAATTCAGCGTAATTATATATATCAATATATTATAGTTATACTTGTACATAATGTAATGATGGTTATTATTGGTAATAATCAATCAGTAGTACTTAATTGACATCCTCAAATGCATAATTTGCTGGTTCTTGTGTAAGTTGTCTTACAAGTGGAAATTGTTCTACATGTTAAGGTTCTTCTTGTACTTAATGCAAAACTGGTTATTATCCTACTAAAGATACAACTAGCACTGTTATATTATCTTGTAATTTATGTCCAAATGGATGTTCAACATGTACTTCATCAACTTTTTGTACTGATTGTTATACTTCATTCTATAAATATACTGATAACTTATGTTATCCTCTCAATAAATGTGCTTCAATCAATACATAATTAACAACTATTCCAACAACACCAAAATGTTCATCTTGTATAGCTGGATATGCATTAGATCCAAGTGGAACAGGAATTTGTTATTAATGTGGAAATTGTGATAGTTGCACAATCCCTACTGGATAATAAACAGCTTCTTTATAAACTTCATGTACTACTTGTTGGGATACGTATAAATTTATTAATATATAATTTTAGATATTTTGGTGTTAAGGATACAAATGGAATAGTTACTTGTAAACCATGTACTCAAGCTTCAGATTCATTCTTGAGATGTTAAGGTCCAGTTGAAAATTCATCCCTTAATGGTGTTGTACCAACTTAATGTTAAGATGGATACTATTTATATACTTTACCTGCTTCAGGAACTACATTAGCATAAACAGTTTGTGTACCATCAAATTAATCATAACAATGTGTCACCATTGTAGCTACTAGTGCCACTTAATATACATGTGCAACTTGTACTATATAAACTAAATTGTATACCAATTCTTAATGTTTGGCTTGTGATGCAGGCTTAACTAATACATTACCTTAAGGTTGTACTGCTTGCAGTGGATCACCAACTAATTCAATAGCTTGTAGTGCTTGTGCAGCCAATTATTATTTCTCAAGTGGTACTACTACAACATGTACTGCTTGTGATGTTAATTGTCTTTAATGTGCAGCTGGTCCAACATGTACTAAATGTGCTATAACATATTATGTATCTGGTGGTGGATGTACATAATGTGGAGTTGCTAATTGTGCTACTTGTAATGCACAAACACCTAGTTCATGTTAAGTGTGTTTAGATGGATATTTCTTATCTAGTATTAATACAGGTACAGCAACAACTTCATATTGTTTGAAATGTCCTTTTGAATGTGCAACATGTTCTGCTCCAGGTTAAGTTTGTAATTCTTGTATATCTGGATATGTACTTTAAAATGGAGGTTGTGTTTCTTTGAGTAGTGCAAATTGTGCAGAAGGATATACTACATCAACTTTGACTAATTAATAAAATCCAACTACTTAAAATGGTTGTGCTATATGCAAATATGGATTTTACAATTTTGAAAAAAGATGTCTATAATCTGTACAACCATATGCAGGAGTATTATATTTTAATTATTATTTTCTTAGGCTGTTTATGTTCAAAAGAATATAGGTATTGGTTCAAATCCAGGAGTATCTAATTACGAGACCATCAT